ATCCCCTGAAGGGTTTCGAGATAAGGGTTTGAAGTCGCCACCAATCATCTACGAGGTCTGATTGGTCACCTATTAAAAAAACTTCATCTACGCAAAGCAGAACTTTCGGTTCGGGAGTCGATTGAGCAAATGTGTTAGCACCTTACGACACCCGTTCGAAAACGGTACCATATTTTGTCAAAAAATATCCTATTATATTATTGCATAAAAAAAAGAGAGATATTTTTATTTTATTTTCAATGTCCCATATTATATTAATTCACATTTTGTAATAAGATATGAATTAATAGGTATGAGTAGCACGAAGGCCATTAGGAAAATTAAGCACCTCGAGATTACTGGAAGGTTCCAATTCCCGTCATGGAGTTTTTTGAAATAATTATTCAGCAAAAAAATAAAAAATAATTTTAATTTTAAGGAACATTGAGACTTGAACTTGCGATATGAATGTTAACACTCAAACGTCGCATCAATGTGCCACAATTTTAAGATATAAGCTATGTTCCTTTTTAAAATACAAATTTTGTATTTTTGAATTTTGTTTTAAAAAAAAATACTCTAAATGAAATCTTTTATTTAAAATAATTATTTAGTAAAAACAATGATAAAAAATATATATTTTTTTAGGATTGCAAAGACTTGAACTTGGATCGTTTCTTAATAACACTTTAGCACATTATCACTGTGCCAAGACCTTAATTTCTTTTTTAAATACAAAGGCTTTGATACTCAAACTTTATTTTAAATGCTTTTGTTTAAATGAGATCTTTATTTAAAAAAAAAACAAACGTTTCTTTAATTTAAAATTCATTTTAAATTTTTTACTATCTAGAACAAAACTTATTTATAAAAATCTCTTATCCTTTTTTATATTTACCTAACAAATCATTTATGTTAAAACAATTCCTTTTTAGTCAACTATGTGTTTATTTAAAAAAAAAATTGAAACATAAAACATTTTTTTCCTTTTCAAATTACCGAATTTACCAAGAAAAACATTTATGGCCCCCTTTTTTTTTTGCAAAGGTAAATAAGATATATAAAAACAAGAAAAGCAAAGCATAAGGAGGATCTCACAGCCCGAGATCAAGGCAACAAAACAAAACGGTAAGAGAGCAATAGAAATCACGAGAATAAGTCCCAAGCAGAGACAAGCATGGGCTCAAAGCTCTTACAACAACTCACTAGCCAAGTAGTGCAACGAAAATACACCTTTGCTTTAAAAACCCTAAGGAGCACAAACGACGAGCGCCCCTGACCACCATGAATACGAAGGTTCCGCTCCCGCCAAAGGAGAGAGACAGTCGAAGTCCAAGCTAACCGCCACACATGCCGC